TATTTTTTCGCCCCTTAGGTCCCGTTGTGGGTCGATGACCTGTGCTTTGGCTTTCTTTTTTCTAACTTGTATTGTGTTCATAGCATGGCAAGGAAGACAGTGTACATTGAACGTAGCAATACTTGTTCTTCCTTGCAAAATTTCTACCTTTATGAGGCTACTATTACATTCTTCAACCATTATTGTGGTACAGTCCCTGCTTTTTGAGACATCCAACATACTCTCACAAGGATGTTATTATTTTCTCAACATTTTTGCTATGTTTTAACCTTTCTGGTGATACCACCCACTCTGAGAGATTTCCCTAATTTCAGTATGTTCATTACTGCTTTTCTGGCTTTGCCTTTCATTGTGTGGCTCAAGTAATACAGTACAGTACTGGGTTCTGAAGTCCAATTTGACAGGACTTTCTCAGGGTAGCCCAAGTAAATTTATTAATTCCTTGGATAAGCTGATTACCATTTCCTTTCCCCTGGGTTGTTTGGCCTCGGCCTCAAATGAAAAGGACATGACACAGCAGTTGGTCTGAAAATCTGAAGCTGTGATCATCAAACTTAGAATTCAATTACCATGGCAACTGGATCTGTTGCCCAAGAATGTAAGCAAATTTACCCAATATCATCAATTCCAAATGAACCCAGACTAAGTCGAGTACAGTCAGTGTCTAGCTAGCAGTCAGAGTGGACAATTGGAGCAGATTGGCTTTGCATTACTCTGCATTTGGGTTACAAAATAAGCTTGGTGTTGACTACACAAGGCACTCTAGGAATGTATAACTCAGGTTTACACTACATCAAATTGTTATCATTAAGGTGAGACAAATTTTGCCCTTAGGTATACAGTACAGTACTGTACTGTATTTTGTGAGGTTGTCATAAGTTCACCTTTAACAATTCTGGGCTGGTGTGTAAAGTGGATAGCCTTAATGCTAGAGTGGTCATAAATATTTTATTTTCATGTTTCTATTTTCACACCTTGTCTCTCTTTCTTCACATTATTGCTATTACAACCTATATTCACCCCCTATTTTCCAATTCCTTGTTCTTGTTCTAATTCATTTACAGTGCACTTTTTTGCTACCCGTAAATATACTATATATGCTAACAGCCTTGTGCTCAAAAATAACTTAGATTTCGTCTTTATTTAAGACATCTTAAGGTCACGAGTCCCACTAATTCTCCGCCCCACCTCCACCCGACATTGCATCGGTCAGTTCAGTAACATGAGAGCCACTAATCCTCTGCCACACCTCCATCGCAACATTTACTTTTTTTTTTTTCATAAAAGAATTGAGTTCCCATCATTATTATTGTGTTTTTATGACTGTGAAATGAGCAGTGTAACCTTGAAAATGTCTGGCAAGTGTCTTTAAGGCTAAGATGAAGGCTATATTCCAGCCCTCACTCTTCATACTTCCCAGTCTCTGTAGGACTCAAATTGATGTCTCCGCTCCACCTTAAGTCCTCTTAGCCTCGAAGGGGACATGTGATGACGACCAGACTTGTTCTTAATGATGTGGTGAGTGTTGTTTAATGCTTTGTACTGATAGTACTGTACTGTAGTATTGTAGGATTTAATTTTTTTTTTGTGATACATGTAGGTATCTAGCTGGTCAGGAACCTATCACATTGAACCCCATGTTATAAGGATCCTGATGGGGATTTCAGGAACCCAATCCCATCGTAAATACAGGAAAGCCTCCGATAACAACGGTTCTACTAACGACAATTCATTTTTAAGACCCTGGTTTTTTGGACCCAATTCAATTTACAAGTTATTTTCTTTGTATTTATGCTGAAAATAGAATAAAAAATAAAATAAAATAAAATTTTCATATAAATAATTACTAAATCCCAATATGAATTATACAAATCAGAAAAAACACGCCTTGCACACGGAGGCTGCCAGGCTTGTGAGTGGTGACGTCAGCATCACTATATAAACAGTCACAGCTTGGTGGGCCTTTTGTTTTCACGCATCTGAAAAGGAAAATGAGAAAACTTTCTCAGGTTTCTTACGGCATTTTTCCGTCCTGATTCAACATGAGCAAGAGAGCAAGTGAAGGTAGTGCTGGTTCAAAAGCTAAAAGAAGGTGTATAACCTTAGCCGAGAAACTAGATGTGTTAAAACGATCCATTAACAGAAAGAAGCATTAAAATTAATAGGGATGTGAAAAATGCATTTGACCTCTGTATAAAGATGTATAATGAGAAAAGAAAGCAGCTGTGCAAGGTTCTTTTGACAGCTTTATTATTCGAAGCAACCATCAACTTCAGCTACACCATCAACTTCAGGTACAGCTACACCATCAAATTCAGCATCAGCAGCAGCTTCAGCAACAACTATGACATCTTTATGACAACATGTTTTCACATACAGTGGTCCCTCGGTTAACAAACGGTTCGATTAACAAAATTTCGGTTACCGAATTACCTCCCATAAGGATCTTCAATTCGGTTAACGAACAAAACTTCGATTAACAAAACCTTACGACAAACACGTTTTGTTGAGAGCATCAGCTGATGGGCTAGTCTGCCAATTCAGTAATCTGTTCTATGTTTTCTATGTTTACATTCGTTATCAGTGGAGTATATATCAAGAAAGTTGTGCTCTTTAATATTTTTGCATTTTCTTTACTAAAATTATTAGTCATTTTAAAATTTAGTTGACATATTGATAATACAGTATATGCAATACTGGGAACTAGTTTGTTGTGCACCCATCAGCCACTTGATTCACCCACCAGGTGTCAGTTTGGCTTTGTTTACAGTGGAGTGAACATCAATTTTGTTGGTGTCTTGAAAATTTTTGCATTTTTACATTAAAATTAATGGTCATTCTGAAATTTTGTTAACATATTGATAATATATAGTGCAGTGTTGATTTAAATAAAATAATCTTGAATTACACCCGGTGAACTTAAAATTTTATTGGTGAAATTACTGCATCAAGCATGGGTCCCCTGAAAGGTGATTTCAACTCCATCCCCACTTCCTTCTCTTCTCCCTTCTCCTCCACCCCCACTTCTAATTCCCATCATCATCATCAACCAGGTACCTTCTACATACACACCTCAAAGTAAGTGTACTTTACTGCATTTTTTTTTTTTTTACTTTGTATGTACTTTTCTGTGAGCTGGAACCAATTACCTAATATCCCATTGAAACAATGGATTCGGTTAACAAAATTTTCGGTTAACGAACGACTCTGTGGAACGAATTGTGTTCGTTAACCGAGGGACCACTGTATATGCACTTACAAGTTGCGAAATCCGTCTCGCTTTTTTTCTTTACCATTAATGTTTAGCTACTTCTATTGTTGCATTTATTAACATTCAATAACATTACTTCAGGTACAGCTACACCATCAACTTCAGGTTCATCTACACCATCAAATTCAGCATCAGCAGCAGCTTCAGCAACAACTATAGGTTCAGTAACAGCATCAGCAGCAGCTTCAGCAACAACTATAGGTTCAGTAACAGTTTCAGCAACAGCTTCAGCAACAACTATGACATTAATTTTACCAGAGCTACAACCAGGGTCTTATTTTCTTCAGTTTCATATGTAGAACCATCGTCACGGGTGGTGTAAACACGAAGGAAAACAATGCCGTCTTGTCTACTTTTGTGTGTTTTAATATTCTATGTATTATTAATGAATTGTATTGTTCATTTTGCATATATAAACATTAATTCAATCAAATACATATTCTCACTTTTTTCTTTACCATCAGTGGCCACTTCTACTGTACGTTAAATAACATTAATTAAAGCATACATATTTTTTACATTAATTTTACTACAGCAACAACCAGGGTCTTATTTTTTGTTTCAGTTGGATAACTGACATTATGGGTGTAAACACTGACTGACAACAACAATGGCATCCCATCTCTTGTGTGACCATATTATTATTATTATTATTATTATTATTATTATTATTATTTATTTATATTGTATAAGGTGCATTCATAAACATTATTTAAAGAATATAATTTGCTCTTTTCATTAATTTTATTGTTTTGGGAGAAAAGAGGGTAAAAAGCCACACAAAAGATATGAAAAGGTCAGACTTTGGAACACATTTCATTATTATCGCTTTATTTTAATGGTAATTAATGATTCACCTTACACTGCAATATTGGAGGACACATTTCCATCGTAATTCGAGGCTTTACTGTAAGGGAATACGTATCTGTACATTAATATCTCTGTTAGCCAGGACTCTCTACCTGGAATTGAAATTGGTTTTGAATTTTTCTAGGAAAAGTTTCGCAATTCCCGGTCTGTAAAAGAGTTTCTGAGGTTAAAGATTAGGCACATTTTCTGAGAAAGTTCCAGAAAATCTCGCCCCCAAATTTTTTCCCATGGTCTTGAAGTAAATTCAAAGTTTGAAAATTAGGCATATTTTCTGGAAATTTCCAAGAAAACTTTCAGAAAAAAAAAGAAAAGATTTCACCCAGGTTTTGAGGATGAAATGATGTGTAATTATAAAAATTCCAGAAACGATCCAATTTATTTTGGGGTTTGGGAGCAAATTCCAAGAATGAAATACAGTATAGAAATCCCTTGTCCAATGAGGGGGTTAAGTTCCTTGAAAACATCATGTTTGGCAAATCACGTTGGGGAAACTTAGCTTCTTATGGGAAAAATGGGGAGGCGAGATCATGGTCGCTTCTGTACTCTTATCACATGAAATGCATAATTTTTTAACATTTACATAATGCACAAATATGTTAATAATAGAACTGATATACCATAATTTTTTTAAATATTATTAATAGGCATTATAAAATCATATTACTGTACAGTACTCACTGATCCATGGTTAGATGATTGTAGCGTAACTATGATGACGATGATATCGTACATATTGTGAAGCCTTCTGATGATGGTGGTTGATGAAGAAGACTTCGATGATGATGAAACCGGAATGATTTTTTATTTCTTAAGCTGATGGTTGAGGTGACCGCGACCTCAAGAAGAAGTCTGTTGTTATCTATTGTTTGCTTTTTCTATGCAAATCTGTCAAAATGTCTCTGTATGCCACACAAAGATCAAGGCCCCTTTTGAACTTTACACTTCTCTCCATTATTGAATCTATGTCAAAACATATCTCACAAAGTTCATTTGCTTTCAAGAGGAATTCAGAGGTCGCCTTCATTGTTAATTTAGGTTTTATGAGTTCCACTTCAGCATCATCATCATCACTTTTACTGTTAACTGCTATAAGCTCCTCATTTGTTGGTTCTTGAAAATGCAAATCCAACAGTTCATTCACATCCTCTTTCTGCATGTCATCACAACCCTCACCTCCAATTTCCTTTGCTAGTTTCACTATTTCTGTGATTTCCTTATCAATCGTCGGAAATCCCCTGAAATCATGAACAATTTCAGGCTAAAGTTGGTGCCAGCAAGCGTTCATGGTGGCAGGCTTCACTTCATCCTCTGATATTTTTATAATGTTAATGCAGTCTTTGATGTTAAATGCCTTCCAGAATTCCATCAGTGTTTCATAAGCACCAGTATCCATTGCTTCAGTTGCTCACCTATAGATATTCCTCGTATATGACTTAATGTCTTGATGACACCTTGATCTATTGGTTGCAGAATTGAAGTGGTATTGGGGGGCATCATCCAACAATAGCATCACCTTTGAGTCAAAATTCTTCTTCGTGAGATATTCCTTGACCTCAGGCACAAAATGATACTGCAACCAATTATTAAAGAGCACCCTAGTCACCCAGGCCTTTTATTGGACTTCCAAACAACAGGCAAATGAAGCTTATCTTTACCTTTTTACCTTTCCAAATGGTACACAAGCATGGGTTTGCACTTAATTCACTAGCTGCATTTCCACAAAATAACGTCAGCCTGTCTTTGAAAGCTTTATATCCTGGATCAACTTTTTAGGTCTTTGTAATATAGGTTCAGTTACCCATACATTTATAAAAAGTGGCCAGTCTCATTAGCATTAAACACTTGTTCCAGGGCATATCCTTTGTCAATTCAAGCAGCATGGGCTTGAAGTGCTCTGCAGCTTCTTTGTCTGCTGATCCAGCCTCTGCCAGAAGCTTCACATTATGTACAGCGAAGTGGCTTTTAAAATTTTCAAACTACCCTTTGCTTGCTTGGAAATCAGTCACAGAAGCACCATCACTCCCTGCCCCCTCAGTTTTCACAACATGAGCCTATGAGCTATGTGCTTTCTCATGAATTGCTACACTATCGACAACAGATCCTTTCTCATTCACTTGTCCACTGATCCACATATTTCATAGTTTTTTATTTTTTCTAAGTACCAATCCCTCCTTGGTACTTGAGCTACCTTAACACTAAGAAATGCAGATGCTTTCACACATGTACATATTTTGTCCTCACAGCTACGAATTGTGTGTATGGTGGACTCGTTTATAAAGTTCTCACAGGCAAACATTGCTATGCATGCACTATAAGGTAGCCGATCTAAAATGTTATTTTCTCAGCTAATGTCATAACTTTTTTACGTTTCTTGGGTGTGCTACCAAAACCGCTTTAACACAACATTGGTGATATGAGTGCGTAAGCGAGACAGATGAGCAGCATGGCGGGCTTCTCTAACTGCCGCATGGCAAAGGCGGCGCATTGTTATCCCGCTTTTAAATTTTCATTGTTGGGCAAATTGTTTGGTCACGTAATTAAACGCATATACAATACAGTAGTCATAAGCGCATTGGACAAACCAGTGTTGGGCGAGGGTTCACTGTCACTGGGCCCTCGCCTTATGCGTATTCACTAATGTGAATTCACGTTTATGCGGTGACCCTATTTCTACCCGTAATTCATCTTATGCCGAAAAGATTCCCTATTATGCATTCTGTAGAAGATATGGCGCACTAGTTTTATATTAAATTATATTATATCTAAGTCACATTAGAATATTTTACTGATTTTCTACAACTTTTATATCATTAATGATCCAGAAATGGTTGTGAAACATAGCACAGTGTGTGTCTACTGCGCTGTATGTGACATCACGGGACATGGCTGAAGTGAGCCAGCCACTCCACACACTTTCACTTTCCACACAAACACCCATGCTTTTCATATGTCTTAGTTTATAGTTTTATATTGTATTATCTTTATTTCTATCCCACATTAGAGTATTGTAATGATTTTTCCACAACTTATATAGCATTTCTGGTGACTTTTAGTAGTTGTGGAATATATTCTAATTTTCCCCAGAAGATTAAGTATTCACTATATGCGGATTCCCATTATGCTGTGTTGTCGCACAAAGCAACCATAGCATAAAGCAAGGATCAGTAATATGTAATTTTGGAAAATTCCTAAAACTTTCCAATTTTTTTTCTGGGTGTAGAAACAAATTCCAAGGATGAAATAATATGCAATTAACAGAAACTTTTCCCAGTACCCAAAAAATTTCTGGGGATGTTAGATTCTTCCAGGTTTGAGAGTCGTCTCGTTACCCGGAAACCTAAATATGTACACTTATATATGGTCAGGCCTGTGGCTTCAAAGCTTCTTCAGAAAATTTTTAAGCCAAAGCCAAGTCCAAAGAGCTTAACTTCAGCCCCATGCCTGCAGTACGATATAAATTTTGGGGCAATAATTAAAAAATTCAAACTTGTCAATGGACTGTAGAAGCTTGGAAAACATGTACAGTAAATAAGAAGACTGATAAATTAGCAATCTATGCCTGTACTTGAGAGCCAGTGGAGGCAGGAATCTGTGGTCGGTTTTTGTCTTGGATATGGAGAGGGAAATACAGTACACTGTAATACAGTACTACTGTATGCACCCTTGTAAGGTGGCAAAGAAAAGCTGTTCTTTCACTCAGATTTGAGGAGTGGCCAGGATGTTGGATAGCATGATAATGTGCAGAGTGATAATGTTTCTGATTTACAATATGGGTATTATATATGGGTTTGTTATAAAATATATTAAAACTGATTAAGAAGGGGATGACACATGGCTCAGGTAGACAGGGTAAGGGGCAGAGAATGAGGGAAAGAGTAAAGAGCAGAAAGGATAATAAGCAGAATGAGATAATCATCAATGATATTCAAAGAATTAGCAATTAGATGAACATAATTATGATGTATTATACAGTACCTATAGACAAGCCAGTACCTTGCCAGATATTTTTCTCAACCAAGGCCTGACATTTCAGTTCACAATATCACTGGAGAATACACTGATGCATAGAGAAAGGCTGTCTTGCTTTAATCAAATTTATTTTATGACAATGATTCAGTGGGATAAACAGCCTATCTAACAATACTAAGACACACATGAATCAAAATGTCAACTTGGGTGAAACAAGTGATTATCATCACTATAGGGAGAATTCACGTTCACATAGTTTCCCACTAAGGCACAATTCATCAGGGTCCAGATTCACTATGATGACTGTAACTTTTGCCGTACAATAAGTTCAGTCACGGTCATCATAAACTGTTAGGGAATCACTAGTTCAGTTTGAAGGTTGATCATAGGGCCTTACAGTGAGTCATTAGTGAATCTGGGCCCACACTCCCAACCTCACTCAGAAATGTTGCAGGTGACAAGTGAGGTACCCCGAGACATTCTTAAGCCTAACTGAAAGGTAGCTGTCCTTGCTCAGGGCACAATAATAATTAAGAAAGTAGCATTAGCCCAAATGACAAACAACAAAGAAAGAATAGTGTAGCATATTACTGTACAACATAACTTCTATATTTTCACTTATATTTTCTCATTTGCTGTTAAACCTTTCATCTTAAATGAAAAAATATTTAACTAAGAATGGTTTTGTTTACATTAATGCACTGTTAATAAAATAGTAATAATAATATTAAAATCATCACAAGTTTACAATTGTTTTGGCATACAGTTCAGCATAGACTGTGGAGGTCTATAGCTCCAATGCAAATTTGCCTCCCTTTATAACTTTATAACAGGTACAGTGGCTGGCATGGCATGTATTGTGAGATGTGGTACCACAGTTTGTTTACATGAGTAAAACTAGCAGAACTACCCTCACTATAGTAACCAGACCAAGGATGCTAAACAAACAGTCCCCCCCCCCTCTGTGAATGTATGCATTTTTTGCATGGTTATCCTCTGCATCCTGTAGTCTTAATATACATTACCAAGTAGAATGCTATTAGCTCCTCACTGTTGTCTGGTGGGAGGTGGTGCCACTTCTCACTAAACACACCAACCACTGCACCTGTTATAATAGAAGGCAACTGTACCTAGACAATGCAGTTACAATACAGTATACCAAAAATAGTAATCGTTAAAATTATTTTACCAAGGATAGACAAAACTTTTTTTTTCTTTTTTTTTTTACGGGATTAGCCCATCAGGGCACAGGTCAATGACAAACAACAGAGCCTGAGGGTGAAAATATAATACACTACTGTAATAATAATAATAATTAATACAAAAATTTCTTAAATAAATACAATATAATAAGATAATAATAATTGACATTGCTGCTGCCTTCAGCACCTCCACTCAGCACGGAGTGCCACCCAGCACCTCAACCGATGTGTCTACGAACGTCACCTTACCCAAATAAACATAAATCTCTCGGCCTACGACCACGTACGCTGTGACGTCCCTTGTAAACTGTAGAGGTGTTGGAACTCCCAGGTGTTTGTAAACGTCGCAGCCATAGAACAAGTGCTTTGGAATGTTACTGCCCGCTGTGAACCACGAGGACAGTATTAATAAATTGTAAAAAATGGCTTAGTTACAGTATACAGTGATCCCTCAGTTAACGAATGCCTCAGTTAAAGAATTACCTTCCATAAGATTCTTCACTTCGGTTAACGAAAAAATTTTGATTAACGAATTCCTTACGAATTTTTCCTAACATGTTTTTGCCTGCTCACCAGCTGTAGTATTAGTCCGCCAATACAGTAATCGATTTTAGGGCTTAAATTCGTTACCATTTGAGTAAATATCAGGAAGGTTGTACTATTCAATAATTTTCCAAGTCTTATATTAAAGTTTTTTGTTATTTTAACAATTATTTAATATAATTGAAGTACAGGGACCTAGTTTTTAGCGTGCCAAACAGCCACTTGACTCACCCAAAATGGCGTCAGTGTGTGTGTCCCTGCTCAGTGGAGGAAGCTTCTTGCTTGAGACTCTTGAACATAAACTATTTTTACGTTTTTACAGTACAATTATTGGTCATTCTGAAGTTTATTTTACGTATTGACAATATATAATGCAGTGCAGTGTTGATTTAAAGAAAATAATCTTGAATTCACCAAGTGAACGTAAAATTTTATGGGTGAAATGGCGACATGGGGTGACTTCTCTTCCACCCCAATGACTTCTCTTCTCCCTTCTCCTCCACCCCCGTTCTAATTCCCATCATCATCATCAACCAGGAGCCTTCTACATGCACACCTCAAAGTAAGTGTACTTTACTGCATTTATTTTTAGTTTGTATGTAATTTTCGGTGAGCTGGAACCAATTACAGTCAGTTCTGCGATAACGCGATAGTTGTGTTCTTGTAAAACATCGTGTTATAGAAATTCGCATAATAGAAATAACAGGGCTTATGGAGAAAGTAGGGTTAGGTGCAGATTACAACTCTAAATCGAAAAAAATTTTGTAGTTAGCCTAACACAAAGGATAGCACAGTCTAAATAAATGTTACATTCATATCTAATAATGAAATCATACAGTAAATGTAACACTTTACCTTAAAAAAATATGAATATAACATGATGGTGGAGAAGGGTGATTTTGAGGATGATAACATCGAGCTTCTCTTCAAGGGTTATAGCCTTCCTTTTACGATTATCACTGGGAATGCGATCACCAGAACGCTTCTTGGAGATATTCTTCTTTACCATATTCACAGTTAATACCACAAAATTGGAGGAATAGTAAGCAAAAATCGCGTTACAGCAAACAAGCGTTCACGTTATACAAATATTGTTCCTCTATTCATAAATCGTGTTAGAGCCAATTTGCGTTGTCAAAACACGCGTTATAGCAGAACTCACTGTCCCCAAAATCCCATTGAAACAATGGTTTTGGTTAACGAAATTTTCGGTTAATGAGCGATCTTCTGATACGAATTGTGTTCGTTAACCGAGGGACCACTGTACAGTATATATATTTTCGAGTCCCAACGTCAGTGATTGTGCTGTGTACTGACAAAATTTTCGTTTGTAATTCACTTTAAAATGGCTGGCAAGCTTAAAAGTAGGAGTTTTGTGGTGCCAAGAAGAAAAAAAAAAGACATTTTAGATTTTCTATGTATTATTTAAGCATTTTCAACTTACGACCTGGATTTGGGTCCCTAACCCTGTCGTAAGTTGGGGAGGATATATATATATATATACAGTGAACCCTCACTTTACGCGGTTAATTCAACCCACGGCGGCCCGCATAAAGTGAACAACAACATATGGGATTAATTGAAATAGAGACCGGGCCGACCCCCAAACTCCACTTTTTCAGACACAATACCTACGTTGTAGTAAAAGTAACTTCTTAATTTTATGATGGTATGCACACACAATTAATAATTAAGAGAAATATCAATAATATTAGGTTTTTTAACACTTACATTAGTAGAAAAGATGGCTGGGCACACGGGGATGGGGGGTTGGTTCCGAGGCAGAGGGCAGATTATTGGCCCTCACCTGTATCACTATCCACCACAGAGGCGTGCAGGGCCTCTTTGTCAAACTCCTCAAAGTCCATATCCTCACTATCATTATCACTATCACTGACTTGGGCCGGCTGTGGTGGGTGGAGGGTGAAGAACTCGGTAATGTTTTGATGACTAGGCGACCTTGTGCGCACCCTGCTCGCGCCGCTCTCCACGTAAAAGGGTACACACACTGCGGAAAGTGAGCATTCCGGTTTCGGCAGGGTACCGAGTAAACGTGGAAACGCGTAAAGTGGGACCGAGTAAAGCGAGGGTTGACTGTAATATAATATATAATATAATATAATATAATATAATATAACATAACATAATATATATATATATATATATATATATATATATATATATATATATATATATATATATATATATATATATATATATATATATATATATATATATATATATATATATATATATATATATATACATACATACAGGTAGTCCCCGACTTACGACCGACTCGTCTTATGACCGGAACATTGTGGACACCTGCTGTCCCTAGGGACTTGATCTCACACTCTTCTACTGTTGTATATATTAGCCTTGTCAAGTATTTCTCCTTAGTCTGCACTCACCCCTGAAGATGTGAATTACACAAAAGCGCTTGGGAACTTCGTGTTTTCTTTTTCCTTGTGGTTATCAGCATATATATATATATATATATATATATATATATATATATATATATATATATATATATATATATATATATATATATATATATATATATATATATATATATAAAATTATCTCCTTTGTGTTTGAAAGATCTTTACTGAAACCTATTTCAAGCGGTACGGTATTTTACTAAGTAAGCTGGATAATATTCATCTTTATTGTACTTTACAATGATAGTAGAGTCATGTCTATCATTACAAGTGGAATCAAAGCATCTCCCAGTAGTAGTGTTTGTTGGGGGGAATTCCATGCTTCTATTACCAACTGTCATTGTACCAACCAATACATAAACTATAAACATTGCTCTTAGGCCTGAATCGTCAGTCTTGCTATAACTATCTGACAATTTAGCATTATTAGCAAAATATGTTCCTTGGCCATACGCATTACCAACGTTCCTGCCAAAAAGTCTCCAATCTAAATTCTCACTGCAAATTAGATCAATTACAGAATGTTTTGTCCCATGGAAAAGATATTGCTCATTTACCTTTGACAAATCATTACTATAAAAGCATAAGAGCTGACGTTTCTTGTTCTGGTAGGTTTTCCATAGGTGATCATTTTGCATTCTGTTAATAGAAGATACTGTGGGGTATGTGTTGTTTGGTTCACACTCAGGATGGAATGGAGAAAGGAAACTCACAATGTGCTCTCTATATACATGTTGTATTGGATGTACAATGCAGCTTGGTGCTGGGAAGGCAGCATGGTTACAAGCGTGATGTAGAGAGAGCTGGTTGGTGAGGACGCTCAGAGAAGGACAGCTTGTGGCTCGCCAGCGGGAGAGAGTACCGCCAGGCAGGCGGAGGAGGAGCGAAGGCCGCCAGGCAGCGGCGGAGGAGGTGTTGCTGGCTGGTTGGTGTAGGTAGAAGGAGAGACAGATCACCACGAGGTCAGGTCTTAAATAGCGGGGGTAGGCGTGGCTTAGCAGTTGACCCCCGCTCCGTGGTGTATGGCGGCGCTGGTTGACCTAGACCACGAGGCATACACTGGGGAATTGGTGGGGTCGGCTAGGCAGCGACAAACAGCGTTTGTAGGGGAGAATTCCACTACAATACTCCCCCTTCCCTCCAGGCTGTGTAGGAGACTTGTTGTCTGCAGGGTTGCATAGCACATGTGAGGCAGAACGGGCGGTGCGTGCCTCATGTGAGACAACGGCGATGGCGTGATGAGCCGGTCGCTGGATACAACTGTCTAGATACACAATATCTGTGGGAGTAGAGAGGGAGAATAAGGGTGTGTGGAGACGATGAATGTTGTGCTTCCCTCACGGCAGGTACAGAGTCGACAGATGCGCCTGCTGGGGTGTGTGGACCTGGGTCAGGAGCAGGGGCTGTGTCAGCAGCAGCGGATGAGGGCTCGTGACAGCAGCTGGGTCCACGACAGCAGCAGGGTGCAGGACATTAGCAGGGAGTACCTGAGGGAGAAAAGAGGGGTGTGTGGGTCCGCACTCAGGAACAGAGGCCGCATCAGGGGCGGCAGGGGTTACTGCTGGGCCGGGGTCGGCGCCTGAGGCAGGACGGGTGTGCTGGGGTCGGTAGGACCTGGTGCTTGGGGCAGGAAGAGGAGCTGCTCTAGGGTGTCTGACCTGCGGTGTAGAGACAGTAGCTGTAGAGCCGATGAGAGCTGCTTCTGGGTGGATAAGCCAGTCTTCCATGTTGCTTGAAGACTGGGAGCGTGATCAGTTTCTCCTCCATCCTGTGTGAGTGCGAATCTCCGGGGGTCACCATTTGTGGGGTATGTGTTGTTTGGTTCACACTCAGGATGGAATGGAGAAAGGAAACTCACAATGTGCTCTCTATATACATGTTGTATTGGATGTACAATGCAGCTTGGTGCTGGGAAGGCAGCATGGTTACAAGCGTGATGTAGAGAGAGCTGGTTGGTGAGGACGCTCAGAGAAGGACAGCTTGTGGCTCGCCAGCGGGAGAGAGTACCGCCAGGCAGGCGGAGGAGCGAAGGCCGCCAGGCAGCGGCGGAGGAGGTGTTGCTGGCTGGTTGGTGTAGGTAGAAGGAGAGACAGATCACCACGAGGTCAGGTCTTAAATAGCGGGGGTAGGCGTGGCTTAGCAGTTGACCCCCGCTCCGTGTTGTATGGCGGCGCTGGTTGACCTAGACCACGAGGCATACACTGGGGAATTGGTGGGGTCGGCTAGGCAGCGACAAACAGCGTTTGTAGGGGAGAATTCCACTACAATACACTTAAATTTGAAAGTGATTCACTCATCATTTTCTCAATGAAGATATATTCAGATGTCTGTGGCAGCACTGGAGTTAACAAGTACTTCTTGTCTTTGGGTAATTTTGTAAACATTCTATCAAATGATGTTTCTTTATCTTCAAGTACTGTACAAGCTGGCCTTCTCCTTATTTTTCGTATTTTGCCTGTTATAATATTCTTCTGTGTCATTTCTCGTGTATCTATATCATAATGTTGTCCACCAACTTTAACAAAGAAGTGAAATTCATTACTAAAATGCATGTGATATTCCAGGTGATCACTGAGCGCTACCACAAAATACTTGTTGTTATCACCATGTGTGTAAGGTTTCCAAGAGCCATTGTCATCACACCAGTACCAGATCCAACGAGATGCCACTCGAAGATCATATGTTATGTCTGAAGGGGTTGACAATCTACGAATTACAATGCTTGAACTGCCTGAAGAAATCTTCATTGTTTCCATATCAACTTGCCATGACTCACTACTTGATAAGACATTTCGAAGTTGTTCATATCTACTATGGTGTCTTACATTTGATGGTAAGGGAGGGAATTCAGCTTTATCTTGAGCTGGATGACAAAATAAGCGTTCCAAATGGTCACTCTGCTCGTATGACAACCGTAAGAAGTTCTCATTATAATTTATTTCCCAAAGGTAAGGCATAGTGGAATGCACTTGGGTACAGGGGTCCCTTGTACATCTTTTCATCATATTAAACATACAAATACAGTCATGTTGTCCACGTTTCGACTTTTTGAAGTGTTTGTGAGTGTTTTTAAGATATTGAAAAACCAGTGAATCATTAAAATCACTCCTATGGGAAAAAACATCTAATATCACTTTATTATGAGATGATGTAAACGAGTGATCATTCTCACAAACTGTACGGTTACATTTCTTTAAGCACCAATATAGACATGCATGCAATCTCCTACAAATTGGGGCATTACAACCTTCCTTACTATTGTATTGAGGACAGACACGTAATCCAAACTTGTCAGGCAAACTTTGGAAGGGAAGATCAATATTTTGTGTCTGTTGCCTCTCATTTAGTTGTGGTTTTGGGATTATGTAGTTATTTACATGGTGCTTAACTGTTTGATGACCAGCCTTTGGAGCTTTTGTTTGGGTGGTACTGTAACTAGGTGCTGAAATTTGATGAGCAGCCTTTGGAGCTTTTGTTTGGGTGGTACTGTAACTAGGTGCTGAAGCTCCACTATTAGTCTGGGTACTAGAAGGATTCTCTCTCTTGGAAGGTTGCTGTGAGTACTTAGTCTCTTCAGATTCATCTTTAGAAGACCAGTTACCCATTGTGCCTGTAAAGATGTAATATTTGTTAGGTATACAGTCCTGTATATTTATTCAGCAAACCTAACTGAATACTGTACAGTATAGTCTCAGTTTACGCGGTCAATTAAACCCATGGAGGTCCGCGTAAAATGACCGAAACGATAATTTTACCTAAAAAATTGGTCCCAGGTAGATGCAAATCCTTGGAGGATTGGTAAAAACAGCTCGAGAACGACTGTAGTCGCCAACCTTCAGTCTGGAGGCCTCAGATATGGGGACGGTACTGATATCAGTAATCAGTATATTTCAGAAGTTCCTTCTGTGACTCAATCTCCCTCCTGCCTGCAGCCTGCCTGTGCACGCACGTAGTACAGTATTGCCAATTCACTAGCATAATAGTCACTGTTTCGTTTCACGTAGTACAGGGATATTGCCAATATAAACGATACTCATAATAAGCACTTCAGATTAAGAAGTTTGAAGTCACTTTTTCAAAATAGTTGTGATAAATAAAAATTATTACATAATTTCATTTAGTTTTGCTACTATACAACAATAAAAGTACAGGGGTATATGAAATTGTAGACAAAACAGTATATATAATTTTAACCATTAAACGTATTAATGAAATCACATTATGGTATTTACTCGTCACTTCAGTGCTTGTAAAGCCTTCATGACTTCATATAAAAATGTGTGACGTAGTACAGTATATTGCAGTGTTTGCTTAGCCGCCCGGGGCCGCGCCAGATCCGATGTTGGTAAAACTGTTAGTGTTGACTAGGAACTTGAACAGGTTCATGTCTTGTCCAATTTACTGGGAGCATAAACATTCAACCATTACATTAGTCGTTAATAATTACTTACCCATGCACGTCAGCCACAAAGGAAAAAGCAGATGCAGTAAGGAAATTAATAAGAAAAGTCGAATAATATTATATAAAACAATACTGTGCATGGAATAGCATTGGCTACCTAAGTTCTGCGCGGTTTCAATAGATGGCAATAGTTGTTAAATGAATTTGTCGTCTGCATGTTAACATACTATTTTGATACAGTACATCATGTCAGGATGAGTGGAAGAGGCCATTGGTGTTCCTTATGTAACCATCAAAAATAGGATAATCCAGAGGTTGTTTTTCATGTATTTCCAAAGGATAAGGAAAGGTAAGGATGACTTTAATTAAATATTAAAAAAAACATACATGTTAAACTGAACACAGTAGATATAAGAAAAATAGGAGTCAGGTTGATGAGCATGTGTCACTCATAATGATACTCAAATTTGTAGCAGTCATTCACATATATGAGACCCTTAACAATTAGAGCACATTTTTTAAATAGCTCTGTATCATATTCCACGAGGTTACAGGACAAAATCCCAGTGGACAAAATCCCAGCGGACAAAATCCCAGCCTCTTATCCTAAAAGTGGACAAAATCCCAGTCTTATAAATAAAAGTCGTCTCATATTTAAAAAAACAAATTTAACATTAAAAAATTCGAGTCTCATAAATAAAATAAAATAAAATAAAATTCAGTTTCATAAATAAAAGTCATATATATAAAAAGAAACAAACTTTTAAAAAAAATTGTTAAAGTCAAATTGATACAATAAACAATATTCAATATATAAATTTATTTCATAGACACCCTTAAGGAAATTCAAAGAGATTACATCCCTATGAAACAATTTAGGTCAACCAACGAACAAAAATGGATGAACAGTAGGATTAAGCAACTTACGTTCTTATGCTGTTATGGAACAACAATCATGTGTTATTATTTTGTCGTGTTTTTTTTTTTGGCCACAAAAATTGTATACGATACCTTAATACAATATAATATAATATATTATTAATATGATAACAGGCGAATGGTCTTTACACCTAATCTTATTAATTAATCTTATATGAGACTGGGTTTTGTCCACTTTTGGGATAAGAGGCTGGGATTTTGTCCACTGGGATTTTGTCCACTGGGATTTTGTCCACTGGGTTTTTGTCATGGAATAATTCCACGAGGACTTGATACAGTGCACTGAATATTCATGGTAAATTGTCCATCTCACTCACATATATATATTCTCCCTGTAGTACTGTAGTGTAGTGTACTGTTTGTGGCCAGTTGTCAATTCTCTTTAGTTGTCTATTATCTCTTTGTATGGGCACACAAACGTACGTACATGTAGATACCTTCACTCAGGAATGAGGTTGGATAGAAACTCACGATGTGCTTCCTGTATATATTGTTGTACAGTGCAGTACTTAGGAGTGACTAGGTGAGGAGCTGAGAGAGATGTTGCTGGTCCAGTAGCTGAGTGTAGGATGATCTCCCTGGGCAGGCGTAGCCGTATTTATACAATTTACCAGGATCAGGATCTGGGCTGCACGTAGCGAGCGGACCAATCACAGCGGCTCAAGCGTAAGGTGTGAAACGCTCTGATCCTGAACTGGAGGTTGATGGTCGAGACTAGGTCGGCGATCGTACCCCTACGTCCTCTGCATAGACCTAGTCTCTCGGCGTAGCTGGCTGTACGCTGATTGGCTGGTCGGAGTGCGGCCGGAGCTCAGTTGGGAGTTGTAGGGGAGAGTAGCCACTACAATACTCCCCCTCCCCTCCCGGCGCGGCGGGAGGCTGGATGTTGTCCGGGTTGTGTCCCACACATAACACATACCGGGCAGGTGTATGTACGACTCGGCCGCTACGTGTAACAACTCCCTCCAGTGACACAAAACCTGTGGGAGAATTAGGAGGAGAAAGAGGGTTTGGGATTAGAGGAGGTTGTACAAGCAGTGGTTGTTGTGCTCCTGCTGCTGCAGGGGCTGCGTCAGGAGGAGGGTCCATGGCAGGAGCAGGTTCTACGATAGGTGCAGGTTGTATGTCAGGAGGAGGGTCCATGGCAGGAGCAGGTTCTATTATATGAGGAAGGTCTATGCCAGGAGCAGGTTCTACAGCAGGAACAGGGTTTACTTGAGGGTGAAAAGAGGGTGCCCAGAAATGTCGTGGGCGTGGTGTTGCTGCCGGTGGTAACTGCGGGTAGACTGGTGCAGGCGTAGTTTGTTGATGGTGCTGCTGGACTGGGGGCCCAAAGGGTAAGGTGGCCGGTTTGACTCGGTCTATGCTGACGGTGTCATGTCTGCCATTCCGGATAATCGTCAGGAACTTTGCTGAACGGGTAACCACCTGGAAGGGTCCATCGTAGGGACGTTGTAATGGGTTGCGATGAGCATCACGCCTGACGAAAACATACTCGGCTGTGAGTAGTGCAGGAGGGATGTATTCAGGGCGCCGAGGAGGCTGGCGTGGAGTAGTAGCTCTGAATGCAGAAACTGCTTGTCGTAGCTTTTGGAGTAAGTCGTGACGAGCGGCTGGAGTGGTTTGGTGAGGGTTAGGAGGGAGTGAGAAATCCCCAGGTAGCCGAAGGGGCTCGCCTAGTGTAAGATCTGCTGGGCTACAGTCCATATCCTCCTTGTGTGACGCACGGATGCCGAGGAGCACTAAGGGAAGCGCATCAGTCCAGCTGTAAGGGTCGTGCTGTGCCTTGAGTGCGTCCTTTAGCTGCCGGTGAAAACGCTCTACCATGCCGTTGGCTTGAGGGTGGTATGCTGTAGTGCGTTGTCTAGACGTGCCGAGGAACTGTAGGAGGTGCTGCCAGAGTTGTGACTCAAACTGGACTCCTCGGTCAGTGATTACGGTTGCGGGGGGGCCGAAACGGGAAACCCAACCGGACATGAAGGCGCGGGCAGTAGTCTCTGCTGTAGCATTGGGCATGGGAATTGCTTCTGTCCACCTGGTGAAACGGTCGATGCAGGTGAAGATGTAGGTGCTGCCGTAGGATGATGGAAGAGGTCCCACGATGTCGAGGTGTACTACTTGAAAACGTCCTTTGGGAATAGGGAAAGTATGTAAGGGGGCCCGTATGTGACGATGTACTTTGGAGGATTGGCAGGCCAAGCACTGGGCAGCCCATTTCTTAGTATCGGACTTGATGCCGGGCCAGACGACACGTTGAGTGAGGAGGCGCTGGGAGGCCCGCCCACCCGGGTGGCTGAGACCATGGATGCGGTCGAACACCGCGCGGCGGTGGACATGAGGCACGAACGGTCTAGGATGCCCACAGGATATGTCGCACCACAATTTTGTCTTTGTGCCAGGAACAGGGAGTTCTTGGAGTGTGAGGCTTGAGGGGGATGACTTGTATTTTGCCAGCTCTTCGTCCTTCTCTTGAGCCGCGGCTAGCTGCCCATAGTCAATGGGTGGAGATGAGGGAAGAATGTTGGATACGCAACGAGAGAGGGCGTCGGCGATCTCGTTGTGGCTGCCTCTAATGTGTTGGACGTCACTGGAGAACTCTGAGATGTAAGCCAAGTGGCGCAGGACACGAGGTGTATGTGACTGGGAAGCTGAAGCGAAGGCGTGGACGAGGGGCTTGTGATCAGTGAAGATGGTGAACTGACGGGCCTCGAGGAAGTGCTGGAAATGTTTGACAGCCAGGTATATGGCCAGGAGTTCTCGATCAAAGGCGCTGTACTTGAGGTGTGGTGGTTGAAGCCGTTGTGAGAAGAAAGCAACGGGCATAAGAATTCCGTTGATCTCCTGCTGTAAGACGGCGCCCACTGCAGTAGAAGAAGCGTCTGTTGTGAGAGTGGTCCGGGCGTTAGGTGCGGGGTGGGCCAGGAGGGTGAGGCGTGTAATGTGCTGTTTGACAGTTGTGAATGCCGTGGCAGCCTCTTGAGTCCACACGAGAGGCTTGTGAGACTTCTTTGGGCGTCCCTTGAGAAGGTCGTGTAGGGGGGCTAGGACGGTGGCAGCTTTGTCAATGAAGCGGTGGTAGTAGTTGACTAAACCCAGGAATTCTCTGAGTTTCTTCACCGTTTCAGGTTTGGGGAACTCCCTAATCGCGGTTATCTTCTGTGGTAGGGGTTGTATGCCACTGGGCGAGACTCTGTGACCGAGGAAATCGATGGCCGAGGTTCCAAAGACGCACT